TTCAAATCCAACCTGGGTAACAAAGCAAGACTCTGTCTCTTTAGCTAAGCGTGGTAGTAAATGCCTGTAATCCCAGCCTTAGAAGACTAAGGTGGGAGGATTGCTTGAGCCTAGGAGGTCAAGGTTGTAGTGAGCCATGATCGTGCCCACTGCACTCCAGACTGGGTGATAGAGTAAGACCCTATCTCTAAAAAAAAGAAGGAGTTGGGCACGGTGGCTTACACCTGTAATCCCAGCACTCTGGGAGGCAGAAGCAACAGGATTGCCTGAGCTCGGGGGTTTGAGACCAGCATGAGCAACATAGTGAGACCTCGTCTCTACAGTAAATACAAAAATCAGCCGGGTGTGCTGGCATGAGCGTGGTTCCAGCTACATGGAAGGCTGCAGCAGAAGGATCACCTGAACCAGGCAAGTTGAGACTGTGGTGGCCATGAGTGTGTTACTGCACTCCAGCCTGGGCAACAGAGTGAGACTTCAACTCAAAAAAAAAAAAAAGAAGGAAAGCAAAAGAAATACTGCAAAAGATAACAGAAGAAATGAAAGAATGATTATTTCACTGTAAACCTTTCTGCATCAGTTTGACTTTTGAACTATATGAATGCGTTTCTGATTCAGAAAACACAGTAACATTTCAAAAGTGAAAACATGAAAATGGAAAAACTGATTGACAGTGAGCGGAAACATCCTTTTCTAGGGGCTCCCAGGAGAAATGTCAGGGCCTGAGACCAAAGGGTCCAACCCTGTCCCCCACACTAGCTCCACGTGACATTTGAGGAAACCAAGGCAGAGAGGGGTCAGAGACTTGAGGGGAGAAGCAGGGTAGAGCCCTTTAGGCTCAAAGACGCCTCCCAGAGCCACACCTTCTGCCTGCCCCAGGTAAGGGGATGGTAGAGTGGGGGTGTGTCCTTGTCCTGGGCTCTGTCCAGGAGAAAGGCTGGGAGCCCTGCCGCAAAGCCTCAGGCAGACAACTTTTCACTCCAAGCCCCTTGTCTAGATGAGGAGACTGCTGCTCAGAAAGGGAAGGCATGGCGCTCCAAGATGGAGCCCAGGGGATGTGGAGTCAGGCACCTGAGAGCTCTGGTTCAGGTCTCAATCCCATCCTGCACCTGACCCACAGCAAGTCCAGTAGTCTCTGCATGGGGGTCTCCTAGCCTGTACATGTAGGTGTTCCCAGCACTTTCCCCTCCAGGACTGGCATGCACATTCAGTAGATTGGCAGAGAGCCGGCACAGTGCCTCACTGGGAAAATGCATTATTGGGATGGCTGACATCATCACAGCCCACTGCTCGTGCTCTGGGGGGGTGGGCTGGGTGACTGCTGTCAGCAGGCCCTGCCCACCTGATCCCTTCTGGCCTTTGGGCCCAGGCTCAGCCCGACTGATAGCAGGCCTGCCCCTTCCCTGGAAGATTCCAGGCTCTGCCTTCCTCTCAGGGTTCCCAGCTTCTGCAAAGGCACAGAGGGGGATGCCAGGTAGCAAAGCTCTCATCCCTCTATTTCTCAAATATCAGTGGTACATCTGTTATGGGCCATGCAAGTGCTGGGTGCTAGGGGTTCACCAAGTCGAGTGGAACCAAACATGTCTGCCCTCATGGAGGTCCCCCATGGCTCAGGGGACATAGGCTTTAAGCAAAGAGCCACACCAACACGAAAAGCTGTGATGGTCAGAGCACAACCCACGTGGGCAAACACTGCACTGGGGTTCCAGGAAGGTTCCCCTGAGAAGGTGACCCTGAGCCAAGATCTGAAGAATGAGAGGGAGCTAATCACACGGAGGAGGGAACAGTGTTCCAGGCAGATGGAAGACGGAACAGTATGTGCAAAGGCCGGGTGGTAAGAGGGGCTTGAAAGTCCTGTGACTGCAGCAGAGTGATGAGGGCCATGTGGAATGAGAAGTGGCCAGGATGGCAGGCAGAGACCAGCCCCATGAGTCCAGGACAGGACTTTGGTCCCCATTCCTAAAATAGTAGAGAGTCATGGCAGTTTTTTTTTTTCTTTCAGTTGGAGTCTCACTCTGTCGTCTAGACTGGAGTGCAGTGGCCACTCCCGGCCACCACAGCCTCGACCTGCTGGGCTCCGGCGATCCTTCTGCCTCAGCCTTCCAAGTAGCCAGAATTACAAGCATGCGCTACCACGCCCGGCTGATTTTTTGATTTATTGTAGAGATGAGGTCTCGCTGTCCAGG